GAGTGTCTGAACATCGAAACATGTCTGACGTTGACATGAGAGTTTAGCTAAACCAACTCTGTGCAGATAAAGAGAGAACTGTTCACTGAGAGAGAGACTGTTCACTGAGAGAGAGAACTGTTCACTGAGAGAGAGAACTGTTCACTGAGAGAGAGAACTGTTCAGTAGAGAGAGAACTGTTCAGTGAGAGAGAGAACTGTTCAGTGAGAGAGAGAACTGTTCACTGAGAGAGAGAACTGTTCACTGAGAGAGAGAACTGTTCAGTGAGAGAAAGAACTGTTCAGTTAGAGAGAACTGTTCAGTGAGAGAGAGAACTGTTCAGTGAGAGAGAGAACTGTTCACTGAGAGAGAGAACTGTTCAGTGAGAGAGAGAACTGTTCAGTTAGAGAGAGAACTGTTCAGTGAGAGAGAGAACTGTTCAGTGAGAGAGAGAACTGTTCAGTGAGAGAGAGAACTGTTCAGTTAGAGAGAGAACTGTTCAGTGAGAGAGAGAACTGTTCAGTGAGAGAGAGAACTGTTCAGTGAGAGAGAGAACTGTTCAGTGAGAGAGAGAACTGTTCACTGAGAGAGAGAACTGTTCAGTTAGAGAGAACTGTTCAGTTAGAGAGAGAACTGTTCAGTGAGAGAGAACTGTTCAGTGAGAGAGAGAACTGTTCAGTGAGAGAGAGAACTGTTCACTGAGAGAGAGAACTGTTCACTGAGAGAGAACTGTTCAGTGAGAGAAAGAACTGTTCAGTTAGAGAGAACTGTTCAGTGAGAGAGAGAACTGTTCAGTGAGAGAGAGAACTGTTTAGAGAGAGAACTGTTCAGTGAGAGAGAGAACTGTTCAGTGAGAGAGAAACTGTTCAGTGAGAGAGAGAACTGTTCAGTTAGAGAGAGAACTGTTCAGTGAGAGAGAGAACTGTTCAGTGAGAGAGAACTGTTCAGTGAGAGAGAAACTGTTCAGTGAGAGAGAGAGAACTGTTCAGTGAGAGAGAGAACTGTTCAGTGAGAGAGAGAACTGTTCACTGAGAGAGAGAACTGTTCAGTTACAGAGAGAACTGTTCAGTTAGAGAGAGAACTGTTCAGTTAGAGAGAGAACTGTTCAGTTACAGAGAGAACTTCACTGAGAGAGTGAACTGTTCAGTTAGAGAGAGAACTGTTCAGTGAGAGAGAGAACTGTTCAGTGAGAGAGAGAGAACTGTTCAGTGAGAGAGAGAACTGTTCAGTTACAGAGAGAACTGTTCAGTTAGAGAGAGAACTGTTCAGTTAGAGAGAGAACTGTTCAGTTACAGAGAGAACTGTTCAGTTAGAGAGAGAACTGTTCAGTTAGAGAGAGAACTGTTCAGTTACAGAGAGAACTGTTCACTGAGAGAGTGAACTGTTCAGTTAGAGAGTGAACTGTTCAGTTAGAGAGAGTAGAAAGGAGGTGAGGAGACGTTTCAGCCTTTCAGTGGAAGGTTCTGGATGTTTGTATTTCTTTTCGGAACTTCTCGTCTCTCTTCATGTTTGTTTTTAGTCCTTCTGAAACGTTCTGTGGGAACTGTTGCTGTGTCAGCTGAAGTTCCATCAGGTGAAACAGTGATGTCTGTATAAATCAGGATTAGTAAAATCTAATATCCTGATATATTTTTGCTATATCACGATATATATCACAATATTCTTAAATGAGCTCCAAAGTTATTTTAAACCACTCGTTCCACCATGATGTCATCCAACCACATACTCGCCCCATTTCCCTGCTACACTGAAATGTAATCTCAAATAAAATGCACTCAGTGTTTTGGTGTGTTTTGGACAGATCATCAGTAAAGCAGGTGTTTAAATAAGCTAATCAACCACTGCAGTGTTAGCATGGCTAATAGCAGTGGTGGCTAATCGACCACAGTGATCACTTATTAATAATCCCAACATACACATCAAGTCTAAAAGCATAAAACTAACGAACTGAATGAAAAACGGAATGAGTTGGTTTGAGTTAGTTTTCCCACTGCACTAAATGAATCCTCCCTCCGTCTCCAGGTTTCTCTAACGGACCGGTTCTACCGGATACGGACGGCATGTGAAGAACAGTCTGATTACGGGGATAAATCTGTGGTTCAACCTTTAATAGTTTGACAATATGTTCTGTAAATGACCTCATTTTGTTGGACATCCTCCATATAAAATCCAAACCACTGCCAGATTATTGATCCAGCTGTTTCTCTCCAGAACTAAACCAGTTCATCTGATTCCTCTTCAGTTTCCGTCATGCATTCAAGGGTGTTGGATAAACCATACTCGCAGTGAATGTTTTATTTGAACAACAATTTATACTCGATGGTTGTGATATCACCATTTTAACTATTGTAAATTTAAAATATTGCGATACATCGAGTATACTCGATACATCGGCCGGCCCTATAGCGAGGGCATCGTGCTTCTCTGGGGTGTTAACTATTAGCAACCGAGGTTGGAAATTACAGAGGCCAGCTGGGAGGAAGCTGCAGGGCAACTAAAGAGACGTATTAATGTTATTAATGAGTTATTAATACGTTATTAATGTGAGAATGCATTAACGCCTCATTCTGTCTGTTTTCTGCGTCTGGAGCTTCAGGTTCTCCAGTGTCTCTGTGATTCTGAACAACCTGCTTTGGGCTTTTATGTTTCCTCACACTGAATAGTTTCTCTCCTGTTGTTTTGGCTTTTTTTAAAGATACTGAGCTAAAGAGATGACTTAGTTTATTCTGTTTGCTGGTTTTCCGCATAAGAACCGGCCCACTTGTTGTTCAGAGACAGTAGAAAAATTGCAGTTAGCTGATGTTTGTATGTGCCTGGTTCTGCTTCTGGGCTCTATAGGACCATTAGAAGCTGCAGTCGGATCCAGGCGGTTGTGCTTCAGCCAGAACCATGAAGATTAACTAACCCTGACTTAACCTGCAGAAGGTCCAGGATTTCAGGAACATGAGATGTTCCTGTAAACATGTGATCCACTGAAGGCTCCTGCTGACCAGAGCGTCTGGACAAGAACACATGGAGCTCTGGACGGGGGATGATTCTCTGAAACCCGGTCTGGTCCAGTCAGAGAAACTCTCTGTGACCTCACTGTGGCCAGCTCCCTGTGACACACACACACACACACACACACACACACACACACACACACACACACACACACACACACACACACACACACACACACACACACACACACACAGAGGGACAAAGAGGCAGTGAAAGATCAGCACATTAGTTAATTAGCCTGCTGAGCTGAAGGGGAGAGGTCGACAGATGGACCGCTGGCTGTGTGTGTGTGTGTGTGTGTGTGTGTGTGTGTGTGTGTGTGTGTGTGTGGTGTGTGTGTGTGTGTGTGTGTGTGTCACAGGGTTAATTGCTGAACGTACTTTCCTGTGCGTTTCCCTGTGGGGCTGAGAACTTTATTACTGCCCTGCTCTGGTACTGTTCTGGTCAGAACCAGCGGGTTCTGCGTTGATTTTATATTTCTGAGGGGGTTTCAGATGTTGGAGACGTTTTCCGGACCCAGTGCTCCTTGTGGGGGCCGAAGCTCCCATGTGGGGAAACACTGTTTTTGGGTTAGTGGTATAGGACTTCGGTGTGAGTTGGGTTTGGTTTCGCTCAGAGGTAAGGGGTGTAGAAATGAATGGAAGTCTGTGGAAAGATAGAAAGACAAACGTGTCTGTGAGAGGCAGATTGAGATATTGATCAGTTTCTGTCTGATTGTCTCATAAAGCTGCAGGAAACTTGAGCTGGGTTCGATCTCCGACTGTCAGCTACAAACCTTATCCTATCCCTAACCATTACATACCTAACACTAACCGTAACCAAAACTCAATTCACACCTTAGTCCTAAATCTGACCCCTGACCCACAAACAGTGATTCCCCTTGTGGGGACCAGGCTTCGGTCCCACAAGGAGCAGCAGGTCCCCACAGCGGAGTGTCAGGGAAATGGTCCCCACAGACTCTCACAAACAAACTCATGCGCACACACACACCCAACTCTCTGCTGGCAGTGTCTCGGATCGTTTTACTTTCGAATCAGGATTTTGGGTTTGGGTTTTCTGGATCCGGGGTGGTACCTGGTCAGTTTCGGTTCTGTCCCCTTTGACCCATTTAAACACCCAGTGCCAGAACCATGCTGCTGACGGTTCTGGGTTAGGACTCTGTTGATTTGGGTCCATCATAAGAGGACCAAAGGGTTGATTGGTTCTGTTGGGGGTCAGCAGCAGATCCAGTCCGGTCTGGTCCAGATAAAGTCCATCAGTTGAATGTGACCCAGACTGACGGAAACCCGAAGGTCAGCACTGCTGGCTAACGCTAAAGCACCAGGATGATATTTAGTAAAAGCTAATGCTAGAGTGCTAAAGTAGTGACATCATTGTAGTCATGTGACGTTCAGGAACAAATCCTCTGAGCGGGATCTGCTGAGGGCTCACAGCCAGCAGTGAAGATGAGGAAGGTGGGCTGCCTTCGTCCTTGGTTATTGTTTACTCTTAATTTTAGTGGAGTTTCATTTTTCTGTTATTCGTTTCTATTTTGAAAAATGCTGACATTGCACAAAATCCCCATAGAGCAACATGGAAATTTCAGATTTTAGTTTTGGTGTTATACACGTCATTTCATGAAAATATATTTAGTACACTATACAAAAAACAAACTTCTGTCCCTTCAAAATAAGAGTCTGAATATTGTCCAACAGTTTTGAAGATTTCTCAGCAGTTGATGAGACATTTTTCAAAAATTCAAACAGGGTTAGCTAAGCGTGCAAAATGTTTTCAAAGTTATCACAATGTGCAAATCTGTTTAGCAGATTAGTGTAATGTGCTAATCGGTTTCAACAGTGTGAACAAACTCCAGTGGTGTTTGAAGTTCTGGTAACAGAAACAGGACAGATTTGATTCTGATTGGCCCTTCAGTCAGTTAGCTAAGCCGCTAAGCTAGATATTAGCTCTGCTAGCATTACTGGAAGTTCAGCTGGAACCAAACCTGAACCGGTTGGTTCAGGTTTGGTTCTGACCCGGTCTCTCTCTGTGTCTCTGCAGTCATGGATCAGTGAAGCGGATCTTCATCGGACCCGCAGCACCTCCTCTTCCTCTCTTGCTCCACCATGCTCCCCTCCTCTCTCTCCTCTCCTCTTCCTCTCCTCCTGCTCCTCTTCCTCCTCCCGTCCCTCCTCCTCCTCCCGGCCCCGTCCTCCCTGGCGTCGGGCCGGGCCGAGTACAGGGCGCCCGACGCGTCCTTCACCCACCTGGCGGTGCACCGACGGACGGGCGAGGTTTTCGTGGGCGCCGTGAACCGGTGGTGAAGCTGAGCGCCGCCCTGCTGGAGCTGAAGAGTCATGTGACCGGCCCGGTGGAGGACAACGCCCGCTGCTACCCGCCCCAGCGTCCGCGCCTGCGCCCACCGGTCGGTCCCCGATCCGTCCGCGCCGACTCCGGCCTGCCTCGCCCTCTGACCTCTGACCTCTCTGCCCCCAGGCTGGAGAGCACGGACAACGTGAACAAGCTGCTGCTGGTGGATTATACTGGGAGCAGACTGGTGGCCTGCGGCTCCATCTGGCAGGGCGTCTGCCAGTTCCTGCGGCTCGACGACCTCTTCAAGCTGGGAGAGCCGCATCACCGCAAGGAGCATTACCTGTCCGGCGCCAAGGAGCCCGACGGCATGGCAGGTAGGGGACTGTGGGGCAGGCTGGGAAACCAGGCCTTTGGATCCAAACCAGCAACCTTTCAGAATGACGCCGATATCGTGAACTCTTCTCTTGAGATGGGAGTTTCAACGGTCAAACATTTACTTCCTGTCGCTGAGCTGCAGCCGTATCCCTGCGCCTCCTCCTGAGCAGCCGGGTCGGCCTTCCCCGGACGCCCGGAGGTTCTCTAACTCCTTTTCCTCTCTCTCTGCAGGCGTGGTCGTCGGGAAGATGATTGGACGGCGGAGTCCAGGAAGAAGAAGCCGGTGAAAGGCAGCAGCCGGCTGTTCATCGGCGCCGCCATCGACGGGAAGTCGGAGTACTTCCCCACGCTGTCGAGCAGGAAGCTGGTGGCCGACGAGGAGAACAACGACATGTTCTCGCTGGTCTACCAGGACGAATTTGTGTCGTCGCAGATCAAGATCCCGTCGGACACGCTGTCCCCCTACCCGGCCTTCGACATCTACTACGTGTACGGCTTCTCCAGCCGGACCTACGTCTACTTCCTGACGCTGCAGCTGGACACCCAGCTGACCCAGATGGAGGCCGGCGGGGAGAAGTTCTTCACCTCCAAGATCGTGAGGATGTGCTCCAACGACACCGAGTTCTACTCGTACGTGGAGTTTCCTCTGGGCTGCACCAAGGACGGCGTGGAGTACCGGCTGGTCCAGGCCGCCTACAGGCAGAAGCCGGGCCGGCGGCTGGCCCAGGCGCTCGGCCTGGGTCCGGACGACGACGTTCTGTTTGTGGTCTTCTCGCAGGTGAGCTCCTCGCGTCTCTTCCTGTGCTGCTGCGCCGCGGTGCGGGCGTGGAACCGGCAACTCTGACCCGGACCGCCGTTTCTGTGTCCAGGGTCAGAAGAACCGCTCCAACCCGCCCAGAGAGACGGTGCTGTGTCTGTTCACCCTGCATGACATCAACCTGGCCATGAGGGAGCGCATCAGCTCCTGTTATCGCGGAGAGGGACACCTTACGCTGCCGTGGTTACTCAACAAAGAGCTGCGCTGCATCCACACTGTGAGTCGGCGGCAGAACGCGTCACTGAGGTCAAAAACGTTTTGGCAAAGTTTCCTTTTTGCGTAAATTTGATGCTCTAAGGGATTGTTTCCTGTTTTTCCATCGTTTCTGGCCTGATGCAGCAACACGCCGCCTCCATCGTGCGCTGGCGTTCGTCTCACAGCTTCGGGGTCTGATGGCGGTGTTTCTCTGAGTCCAATCAGATTCCCAGATTGTTCCGGATCCGCTCCGCAGGGTTCTGAACTCGGCTCCTTTGTAGGCTAGGAATGAAGAACGGAGCAGAGGGAAACGTGTTCAGTGTGAGCTGCAGTGGGGTCATTTCAGGTCGGGGGTAGACGATGTTCGTATTCACGGCGGTAATGGCCTGCAGTCGTTACCATGGCAACCGGGCAGGGAGCCTCAGGAGCGGCGATCTGGGCCGGCCCGGTTCGGGGCGCAATGGGGGAAGCAGAACCGGCCAATCAGCCTCACGCTGATGAAAGCCATAAAACATCAGGACCTGGGCTGAGCAATGGAGGGTGGGGCCCTGGGGGGCGGGGCCTCTGGTGGGGGCGGGGCGCACGGCCCATCTGACCCGCTTCCTTTATCAGCAGCAGCAGGGTGTGTGAATGTGACAGGCCCATTCTTCACTAAGCGTCTGCAGCACCTTGCTGTGGTGTGTGTGTGTCTGGTGTGTGTGTCTGGTGTGTGTGTGTGTGTGTGTGTCTGGTGTGTGTGTCTGGTGTGTGTGTGTGTGTGTGTGTGTGTGTGTGTGTGTCTGGTGTGTGTGTGTGTGTGGGTTTGGGTTCAGCCGGTGAGGAGCTTTCAGTTCTCCTGGCGGTCTCGCATCACGCTGCTTTTATACTGTTTTATTAATAGTTTTAGTTTGATTTTTCCGGTTACACGAAGCTACAGCCATGTCAAATGCTTTGTCCACTTAGTTAAAGACAGATCTGAAAATCTCGTCCCATAAACTCAGGCGACCAGAACAGTTTCTGTGACTCGTATTAAAACTGGACAGATAGAAATGTTAGAGCTGCTAGAGCTCTAACATTTCTGTTAACGTTTTTAGCGGTTCATTGAATTAAATCTGTTTGTTGCTCCTCTCTGCAGTGCAGCAGGTTGAACTCATCCTGCAGGGCCGGTCCAAGGCTGCATGAGGCCCGGGGCAGAGCCTGACTTTGGGGCCCCTCTTGCTGCTAGAACATCAGAACCTCTAGCAGCTTCTGTTGGATTTAATCTGGGAGATTAAAGTAGATTAACTGGCCAACCTGACAACTATAATTACAGTTTATTCATTTGTATTTGTGAACAAACGGCTCAAACTCAAAGATTAACCTCGCAGCATCAGATTGTTGCTATGGTCACAATCTAACTGTGGATGTTGCTCTTTGAAGTTTTACAAAGTAAACTTGCCAGCTCCTTAAAATCTTATATTTAAATGTTAAACAATTTAAAATATTTTACTTTATGCTGAAACCATTAAATCAACTTTAGTAGCATTTATAATCTCAATAAACAAATGTTCCATTTATACATCTGTGGTTTTTGTTCAAATATGATCATTTATGGCCCCTGAAGCCCGGGGGCCGAGGACCCGCTGCCTTCATGTGGATTAAACACAAGTGCAAATAATTAATATTCATTTAATTGCATTTTTTGATTTGCTGTTTTTTCAGACTAGTTGTGGTTTAAATAGTTTCAGTGGAGATGTTTTCCTGTAACATCCAGTAATATTTTTACATTTCCTGTCTAATCAACATCTTTCATACAAAAACACGGCTGATTGCTGATGTAAAAACTAATTGTGGGTTCCTTCAAGCTTTAAAAACTTATCATAACATCTGCAACCTATTTTTCATTGATATCAATAAATATAGAGACTGTAAGTGAAATAAATGAACAGTCAGACATCATGAGATGAAACTGAGTGGATGGGACCTTAAAGCAGCTGCTGTAGCTTCTGGATTTATTCTTATTTTAATGTGTTTCTGGTTGAACTGAGGAAGTTACTGAAGGTTTTCTGTGGAAGAAGAAGAGCTGTTGCTAAGGTTCAGTTTCCTGTGTGGTGCGGCGCGGCTTTAACTCGGTAATGACAGGGTGTTAGCCGACCTCGAACTGGATCTGCACAGCCTTTAATAACTTGTCTCCTCCCTGCTTCATTCTTTCTGAACTGTGGAAGGAAACCTGAAATTTTCCAGGAATATCATCAGCCTGTTCCTGACATGGAGCTCCAGCTCCGCCTGCAGAGAAGCAGAACCATCTCTGGACGATGGCTTAGAAAAGATGGACTTTGCTTCACTGTTTGACTTGTGAACATGAAGCTGCACAGACCTGGAGGTTCCTGGAGCTCCACTGGTTCCTGATGTTTCACGCAGTCGCTTCATATTTAAACTGATGTTTGTGCTAAAATCAGCCTGGCGTTCACAGAGACTGCTGGACTTCTGGAAAGTGACAGAAATCCTCTGAAATCAAAAACTTAAACATTTAACTTTGGACATGGAAAACATTTAAAATATTCAAAAATAAATAAACAAAAACGGAAACAACAATAATTAAAACAGATTATGAAGTTTGTGTCACCAAACTTTGGTTTTAAAAACATATCATTCAGCCAGAACAGGGAAAACAAGCAAAAGGAGCAGGTAGTGCAAACTCACTTTGAGCAGCGTTTTTCAAAATGGCAGCTATTGATTATAAAATGGGAACATTGCTTTAAGGGTTCGGATCACCCTAACCCTACTCTTAATTGTGGATCTTGTTTTAATTTGTCATGCCATTGATTGATTTATTGGTTATGGTGGCAGGTGGGGGAGGGTCTCTCAGCCTCATGGACGCCACCATGACTCCTCCTAACATCTGATCCTGGTTTCGCCGTCTTTATGTCTCCACAGCCAAAGCAGATCGGGGATGATTTCTGCGGCTTGGTGCTGAACCAGCCGCTGGGAGGCCTGAGAGTGATTGAAGGACAGCCGCTCTACGAGGACCGGACCGAGGGCATGGGCGCCGTGGCCGCCTACACCTATGGAGACGACACCGTGGTGTTCGTGGGAACTCGAAGCGGACAGCTGAAGAAGGTAGGAGGCATGGAGGGACGAAGCCGAATTAATGTCTTCCTGGTGCATTTTAGACTTGTCCTGGAGAAATGTCACGTGGTCTGAGAAACTAGCTGAGGGAGAAGCTAGCCGATTCTCGCGGACAGAGAAGATCCTTCCTTGCTGAACCAGGTTGGCAGAGCCGATGGTTCCAGGTGGATCGGGTCGGTGGTTTATCGCGTTGAGCCGGTCGCCGAACCAAGCGGCTCGACGTCTAGGTTGCAGGTCTGTTTTCCTCCAACTGCTTCTGAGTCCTGCTCAGACCTCTGATGCTCAGACCCTCAGCAGCTCAGCCAGGTTCTGGTTCTGGTTCAACAGAAAATAGTGACAATATTCGGCTGAGGAAGTTCTGCAGGTTCTGGAACTATGCCAGCAACCTCAGAGGAGCAGCAGTCCGAAAGCCGTTCAGGAGTCCTGCAGAATCTGGATCTGGCTCTGATCAGCCGGGCGGCGCCGCAGCGCGTCTCGGGTTCCTGCGGCCCGGTGGGTCTGGCAGCAGAACAACAACTGTCCTTACACTCTTCCTCCTGGGACGCCTGGGCTTCCTGCCCCTCCCATCCTGTGACATCACCCTGCCTGACCAATCAGCTGTCAGATAAGCCAAAACTACCGGTCCATTTTTCATGTCTCCATGGAAATGGCTCAAAGCCGGTCCCGCTTGCTGCGGCCAGGCTTCTTCTGGCGCTGAGCTGGAGACGAACAGAACCTCAGACAGGACATACGATCGGGCCTGGAGCGGTTCTGATCGGAGCTACAGCTCCCCTCAGAGGCTGGAAGAACCTCTGCAGGTCCAGAACCAGAATCTTTCTCTTCATCATCATCCTTACAGTCATGTAGCCGCTGCGTCCGCTTGCTGTGATTGGTTGGTGTCGCTTTTATAGGTAGAACCTGTGGAGTAGAATCAGCTGAGATCTGAGTCTGTTTTTGTTCTGATCCGAAATCAGGAGCCGGGCTGCAGTTAGAGCCGAAGAAGCCATGAACCCGCTCTGATTGGTGGGATTGCAGCAGAAAGTTGCACACCTGGGCTCTTACACACACACTCACACACGCACACACACACACACACCCAGACACACACACACACACACCCACACTCACACCTGCACACCCAGACACACTCACACCTCCACACACACACACAAACAAACACACACACACACACACTGAACAGGAAGCTGTCTCTGCTCAGCCTCCGTTGAGGACCAGCTGGTGTTTTTGTTTTGATCGTATCTAAATTAGATTAGAGACGATTTACTGTTGCCTTGGCAACAGAGCAATCATCCTTAGCCCACCCTAACCCTGGGTTGACGGGTCCAGTCCAAGTTTTTGTCGGTTCTGTAAAAATCCAGCACTGAGGCAGGAAACGTCCTTCTGCAAATAAACAAGAGAATGAAATAAACACGGGAGAAGAAGCTGTTCCTGTGTGGTTCTGGTTCTGTTGGACCTGCTGCTGTTCATTGTTTTGTTGCATCCGATGACAAAAAGAAGTGTTGATGTTCTCCAGGTCTGCTAACCCAGCAGTTTATCTGAATGGCTTCATTCCTTGAATCTGGCAGAGGAACAGATTCGAGTCCAGACTTCAGCTCCAATTCGCCTCCCAGGATCCTAAAGGACTCTGGGAGCTGCAGGTCCAAGCCTAGAACAACTTTGACTAAACCTTGAATAAATCTTGAATAAACCTTAAATGAACTTTGAATGTGTTGAAAATAAATGTACTTGAGTAAGAATAGCACTTAAGAAGTTTCTGTCCAAGAAGTAGAAAGTAGAAAGAAAGTCATTGGGTAAAATGGCCAAAATAACCATTTTATCAGATAAATACTAAGTAACATCTGATTTAATATTTTTAAATTATGTCATCAGTAAAAAAACCAAAGTTATGTTAAGTTTGGTACTGCAAAGACTAAACTGAAAAGTGTTTCGTAATGTTATTTTTACTGTCCACCTGAATGCTGTGATGTGAAAGAGGCTCCCAGATATTTTGAATTTGAATCATGTGGATTGGATTTAGAGCTAGCTTTACTTGTAATTTCTATACAATAAAACTTCTCAGATCTACATAGATAGAAATCTATATAAAAATATTGCCCATGTTTTTGGTCCCATACTGGTAGGACTGGTACCGGTTCTCACTCTGCACTGAAAGCTCCAGCCGTCCTGATGGACGTTTGTTTCTCAGACGGCCGGTGTTAGGAGTGAACAGATGCTTTTGATCCGTTTCCTGTTTTTGGTTAGCGTAAACCTGAAGTCCTGGCAGCTGCATCTCACTCTGCTGTTAAATCGTTAATGCTGCCTAAAAAGGCGAGAGTGGCTCATCTCTGCAGGGTGGAAGATCTTTGTCTCATCATCTGTCCCTGTAAGCGTCTCTGCTCTTAGCTAATGCCTCTGGAGCTGTCAGTGTGCGCCGCAGTGATTTACTCTGTTTACCTGACTGTTTGACCCCCCAGTGTGTGTGTGTGTGTGTGTGTGTGTGTGTGTGTGTGTGTGTGTGTGTGTGTGTGTGTGTGTGTGTGTGTGTGTGTGTGTGTGTGTCTGTGTGGCTGGCTGTCAGGCTCTTTCTGCTGCGGTTCTGTTTTGTGTATGTTTCCAGTAATTATTTAATGCAGTGGCTTGTTACTCTGTTTTCCTTTTTTGCTGCAGCTGCCACAGTAATAAATAGAGGCGTTTTTGAAGCAACCTTTAAACGCCTACATATGTGTGTGTGTGTAGTCATATTATTCATTAGGGCCTTTTCTGCTAGTATCAGTTAACTCCTGAAGGCAGCTGAGCCTTTGGGACCAGAGGAGAAACTTGATGTTTATGTAGCAAAGTCCCATTTCTCAGGTTCTGAATCCATCTTGTGTATTAGATTTCAGTCAGGACTGTACTGGCACTGGTACTAGTTAGGCCCAGATGGAGTTCCTGAAATGAGTGGAAGTCAGTAATATTATGGTTTATTATTATTTATTATGGTTTGAGATACAACTGTGAGTGTGTGTGTGTGTGTGTGTGTTCGTGTGTGCGTGTGTGTTCGTGCGTCTGTGTACTTGTAAATACACCTGTTCGGAGATCGCAGTCATTAAAGGTAATATGAGGACTCTTGTGGATACAGGGACATTTTTATTCAACCTGGTTTAGTTCTGGATGTGAATCACTAAAGATTGAATTTTGTTTTTTAGTCTAATTATCTGATAATAACCAGATAATTAGACTCAACTGGTGAAGAACATTTTAAGTTCTTCACCAGTTAAGTGAAGAACTCAACTGGTGAGTTGAATATTCTAGAATTTCTTTCTAGAAAGAAATGTATTCCTTCTAAAAAAGAAGGAACACAATGCACCAATCTGAAGGTTGAAGAACCTGAAGTACAGATTAAAAATTATAAATATGTTTGTCATTGATGCAGTCAAGTTACAATCTTTCCATCTGCTTCCAAAAGTTTTTTTACAGCCACGTGCAGGTAAAAGTGACTGTGGTTCAATCCTGAAGTCAAGCTTTCTGTTATCTTTTCTTCCCCCCACATGAAGCAAATGTTTAGTCAAATGATGTAATATTTTTTAATTTAACAGCTTTTAAGACCCAACTCACTCACTGTGACTACCTACAGATTTCACATGGCTGTTATTGGAAAGTGTCACCATATCTGGCTACTTAAATGAATTTTTTTTATCTATAAACAGATTGCTGAATAACTCAGACATGGATGTTTTTAAAGATTTGCTTCCTTTTTGTCTTTACATGTAAATATTTTTGGTGAATGAAGCAGTTGAGCGTTATGGATGAAAGAAGATGCATAGAAATGTTCATGGTTTGTTTTCCATCCGAGTGCCACCATGTCGCCTGCTTCCTGTCCTGCAGCTGCTGTTATCACCGTAACACAGATCAAGCTGGCTGCTGCTGGAGGCGGTTTCCTAACATACTTATTTGGTTAAATTGTTTAAATCAGACTAAATCTCTGAAATATTGTCCAGAGTAGGGAAGCCTATTCCAGCGAAATGCTTGGTGCTTGCTATGGATGTGATCATCCTCCTGTTTCACCTTGGGAAATGACTTCATCTCTTTCTGTCATCCCCCCGCATAGCGGCCCCTCCCCCTCTCCCAGACCCCTTGCTCTTATTATTGACTTTGTTTTAGAGATAAATCCATAAGACGGTCTCCTAGGAGGCATTTTAGCTTCACGTTAGACACAAATAGTCACATTAAAACCATGTGGCCTGGATGGAAGACTGCAGGTGGTTGTTAAACCTGTGAGAGATTTAAACGGCCACGCCCGATAAATCAGAGCATGTGTAGAAAACCGCTGCAGAGTGTCATAGCATTCACCTTCAGTCTCCAAATTTCACTCATTCACTTCCTGTTGAGAAATTCCCCACAGAATCCCCACCGGCAGAAATCCTTTGGAAGCAAAGAGTGGCGTGTGGGTATGTGTGTTTGTAATACATTGTGGGGACCATTTTTCTGACACATACTATGGTGGGGGGACCTACTGCTCCTTGTGGGACCAAAGCCTCATCCCTATGAGGGAAACACTGTTTTTGCATCAGGGGTCAGATTTAGGACTAAGGTGTGAATTCAGTTTTGGTTAGGGTTAGGATACAAGTTAGGTTTAGGCTGTAGAAATGAATGGAAGTCGATGGAAAGTCCCCACAAAAGATAGCTACATCAAACAGGTAGCTGTGGGTGTGTGCGTGACCTCTGGTGTCACAGCAATTCAAGCAAATCTTTAATTAGTTCTTCATAATTACTGAAATGTGGAAATTGGATTTTAATGGTGGATTATTTCCAGGTTAGTTTTGCAGAAAAATTAATTGAAAAACAAAAACCAGGACATTTCAGCTGATTTAAAGTATAAAACTGTTTTTTGTGTAAGTCTGAATGAAAAACTGTGTGTATTTAAATTATCTGTTAAATGACTAATGATTCCTGTCAGCCTCCTTCTGGTATCACTGACTTCTTTAGTTACTTTATTAGTAGCAAAGCAGTTTTTTATTGCAATACTTTTTTGA